GTGTGTGTGTGTGTGTGTGTGTGTGTGTGTGTGTGTGTGTGTGTGTGCGTGTGTGCGTGTGTGTGCGTGTGTGTGTGTGTGTGTTGGGCTCACCTACTCTGCTCCACAAATGACAATGCTGTGGCTAACAAGCACTCCGGCCCGTTTTGACTGGACAACAAGGGCTTAATGACAAGTCACATAACAATGGAGAGGAGAGGAGTACAGTGGAGCGCTCCAGCCAAACTATCAGTCTGTCAAACAATGGATTGTCAGTCCTCATCTTCTCTTCTCTCGCTCATTGTGGAACAGATAAACATATCAAACACACACTCACCTATGCACGTATGCCTATATACACAAACAAAAACAAGCGCACTCGTTAACACACTCAGGTGTACGCATTAGCATGAAGATGTAGAAGCACAACAACGTGGAAACTCTCTATCTCCCACACACACACACACACACACACACACACACACACACACACACAGTATAACTGGCTGTACAAGCAGGGTTTGATGACAGCCCCCTAACAATAGGGAGCAGAGCAGCCTAGCTATCTGCCTGTCACACAATGAAGGGAGTACTGCTGAAGAGGTTGTCACCACCACTACATGTAAACACACACGCACAGGCACACTGAAAAAATCATCACAAAAATAAAAACATGAGCTGTGGAGTGTGTGTGTGCACGTGTGCATGCCAGCGGGTGCACACACACATAAACGGGGTAATTCAGAGCGCTGCCATTTATGTGAAGAGTGCTCCGTTTTCCAGACTGTGAGTGGAAGTGAATTTGCTTTTTCTGTCGAGTGCAAGTCAGGTTGGATTAAACAACACTTGGCCAGTGCTGATGGGTTATCACTGTGCATCTGTGTGTGTGTGTGTGGTTGTGTGTGTGTGTGTGTGTGTGTACGCATGTGCTGTGATGATGCCCACAGGCGCCTGGATTTGATGCAGGCACATCTGTAGACAGCTCCCTTCTCCTGTCAGGGCCCATCTTCCTCTTTCTCTCATTTTCTCAAGGTGTCCTTTCACTGTTTCCTCGCTCATCATGTTACACTTTGTTTTCTCCCGTCCCCTCTACTACTCTGCTCTTGACAAAAAGAAAGAGTGGCCTCCACACTAACAGCACATATACACAGGCTTTCTATCAATTCTAATTATTATTTTCATCTAATGTGGATTTGCTCCAAACACCATCAAGAGCGTATTGTAACTTTTTTCTCCCCTTGTGTTATTATATTAGGGGGCTGTGGTTTCTCTTAGCTTTAGGGACGCCTCTTTATTGTGCTGAGCCGATAAAACAAAGACTCCAGTGCAGTGTTGTGGAGTAATTAGCTGGTCTAATGAGGAATTCTTAGAGCACAGATATTAATATTGGAACAAAACCAGACTTGGGTTCTCATTCTTGCTGTTGCTGACAGCCACGGATGCAAAGGGCTGAATAAGATCACAAAGCTATTTGGTGATATTTTCGAAGAATAATGACTCTGTTTTCAATCAAATTGTTGCTATACATAAAAGCAGCTCAGGAAAAATGTAATATAACAAAATTTAAAAAAATCTATTGGTAATGACAGCATGCAGAGATCAATGCCCTTCCAATCAAACAATTTAACAAACTGCCGTTGCATTTCCTTACAGCACTTCACTGAATGTGTTAATCAGGCCTTTTAAGGATAACACTGGATTTATTTCATGATATGATTGAGTGATATATCAAAAAATGTTAAGTTAGCAGTCTTTTTGATTTTATCCTAACTGGCATGTCTCCTCTCTTTCGTCCACAAGGCGGGAGTTTACCACAGGGGAATTCTTGGGGTTAGACTAATATGTTGTTTCCTCTGAATGATAAATATTACGGGTATACTCTGGGGGCTGCCCAAATACTGAATACATAGAAAACTCTGGTTTGTTAGTTTTACATGCGATAGTGTGACCAGGTAAAGGTATGACACCTGAAGAGTTCAGACACATGAACCATCTTCCTAGATATCTGTTCTATCATCTTCAGCACACCGGTTCTTCAGCTAATTCACTTAAAGAGGTGCTGAGCCTGACACACAAGAGAGTGCGTTCAATTGGACGGATTTGATGGAGCTGCAGAAACGAGGTGTCTGGTGCTGAGGAAAATAATATGAAGAAAACTGAAACGCCTCAGTAAAGTAGAGAAGAGTAAGCGATAATGGTGTCTGGATTGCAGTTGGATGGATAGCAAGGCAAAGGGATCAGAACACAGCACTTGATTCTGCAGCACTCTGGTGATTTTAGCCTTGTGAACGTGATAAACTATTGACCCTACTGTCTGGCTCAGGTCAGCAAAGAAGAGGATTGTGTGGGCGAGCATCACAAAACACTACAGCAGCAATGCACTGTGGCCAATGGTTCGTACTGTCGCCGATTTGCAAGGAATAACGTCCTTGGTGAAAATAAAGTAGCCAAATTCAGGAGAGGAGTTGTAGTCAGAGACCACCAAAGATATTAATTCCCTTTCTGTCAGAGTCTGTAAATCCTCAACACAAGCTGGGACACATTTACCCCATTCATCTAAATGACAGGTCATATTGTAGCTAATTAAGCAATTTTCTAAACAGTGTATTGAGTTGTTTAACAGTTTTACTCCCTTGTATATACCATTTGTGTTTCCTTCAAAGTTTGTGACTTTTGCATTGTACTGTATCTAGAATTACTGCACTATCCTAACAGGATCCATCATTTGCCATATTTGGTAATCATTAAATATGCATCGTTACAGAGCTGATCAACATGACTGTGAGTTTTGCATGTCAAAACTGTGCAGTGCTCTGAATACACTCAAATGCAAAGCTGTACGCGAGTATCTACTGTACATACATGTATTTGTGGTATTTTAGCCTGCGAGTACTAGTATACTGAGTGTCAATGCAAGTACAAGTACGGTTTGTTTATTTGTTCCATGTTAGTGCACTGATGTGTGTTTGCGTATGTGTGAGTCTGTCTGTGTCCCAGTGAGTATAATGGTCCCTGGAGGCAGGCCAGCGTCCATCAGCAGACAGCAGGCATTAGTGCTCTGCCAGATTATCGATGGACCACCGGTGCTTGACAGCAGGCCCCTCCCCACGGTCACAGGACAGGGTGGGTATATGTATGGCTGTGTGTGTGTGTGTGTGTGTGTGTAATATAAAAAGAGTGTTTTTGATACGTATATACACACAGAAGTAGAGAGATGTCTGTGTGTGTTTCAGAGACAGCGATGTCTGTGTACGACCCCTGACCCCAGGCTATGTGTCACAGCTCTGTGTGTGTCGATGTGTGTGCGTGGACGAGGGGCCGCCCGGCTGTCATCGATCTCACACACACCAGGCCAGCACTTAACACTTGGACTGTAGCGACTAATACACTCACACCCTCTATTACTGCCCTACTGGAGGCACAGCGTGTGCGCGCGTGTGTGTGTGTGTGTGTGCATGGCCTACTGCCAAACTCATGCTGCTGCTGTTCAATGGCAGCACAATAGATTACACATATAACAGTGTAATGATATATCTCTATTAGACATCCTCCTCCCCTCGCTCCTCGTTTCTCCAAACCCATCCAATGTTTTACTTTTCTGTGCATATGTGGAGGACAGGCTCGTCATTACTACTGGACTTTTTTGGTGCAATTATTTTGTACTTATTTACTTTAAATAAATGCAGCCGAAAAGTCCGGAATCCAGGACTAAATATTTATAAATATATATACGAAAAACATGATTGTTTTATCGACTTAACTTTCATTTGAAGTTTGATTAAAAACTCAATGCTGTATGTTTAACTGTCTATTTCCTATGGTGCTTTACACCAAAATGTGTTTGGAACAAAAAACAAATCTTCATTTTGCACGGTGTATTATAATTCCTAGATTGAAATACATTATAATCTTTTTTTATAATCCCAGTTATATTGCATTACAATGTGATTATAAGTTACTCTATGAAGTATTATGACACTTGACCTTATAAGTCATAATAAAATGCTGAGTGGTGTTATGATCATTGTTATAAAGCATTATGGGTATTTAGAAGTGCCTGTAACTGTAATAATAGAGTGCTAGAAGCAGATTATCACAAACTATAAGTATGTTTATAATGCATTATAGACATGGGCGTCATAGAAAGTGTTCCCAAGTTTACTTTGCCATAAACAACTACAGAGCATTTTCAGAGATTCCCTGAGAGTGAACACTTGGATGAGACTCTAAACTC